CGATAATCAGAATTGGTACAGAATCAGTAGAGGAGAAAATAAATGGCTGCTAATAATAATAATTTTAATTAACAATAGTACAGAGTGAATAAATTGTATTTGAAGTTTAACAACATTTTACAGTATAAAGGGCACTAAATTCCATTTTAAAAAAATACTTTGGAAAACACAATAATTACGAAAAATAAAGAAGGAAAATAAATAATAAATGACAATGAACAAAATTTTCAAAATTAAAGGCAACTAAATTTTTAATATAAATGATATATTTACATCATTAATAAAGTGATGAAAAAAATGAAATTGTTAATGTCCTAAACTGAACTGACATTTTCATAAATGTAGAGAATCATAGTTCAACAACAAAAATTTCAATACTATTTACTATAATTTAATCATATTTTGCAGGTAAATTATAATAGCTGAAAATTGTGCAATACAATTATAATAGTAAAATTGTTGCAATACAATTATAATAGCTGAAAATTGTGCAATACATTTGTGAATTTACAGAGCTGCTCTTCCAATAATAGCAAATAATATGAAATGCTTCACATAGATTCAAAAATTAAAGCTTTTACAAAGATAAATTAGATGAGGATTCCTACTTAATAAAATTGAACAAAATATTTAGTGTTTAAAAAGTCAGGTGAGATATAAAGAAAGGCTTGACAAATGGTTCAAAATTTTATAGTTGGATTTGGAATCCAAAATTTGATGAAGCATGAAAAACTTTAATAATGACATATTTTAAAATAAAACAGAATCACATACCAAATTAAAACTATATAAGTACATAAATTTAAAAAATATTCAAAAACTCTTATTATTAAGCTGGTATAATAGAAAAGTGTTCAAATACTTTAATTTTAAAATGTTGTGCACAAAAAAGAAGAAAATAAAAGTACAGAAATTTTAGTTTTTATTTAAAAGCAGGTGGAAAAAAAGTAATCTAGAAAAAACACATGTCAGGTTAATTTATAAAAACTTTCAATAATTGAATATATTTTACAAGTGATAAAATTCATGAGTTTTGTGAACATAGAGTTATTTGTTAAATGTAGCATATCATGCATTTTTAGCCATGTACTGATAGTTTTTTTTTTTTTTTTTTCTTTTTTTTAAATCATATCGTGCTCAAAAATGCGACATTTAGTTAAGAGAGATTTACAGATAAAAATCTATCATGGAAATCATGCATAGAATCTAAACCACTATCTATACATTTTATGCAGCAAAATCAGCACTTTTAAAGAATAAAAGCGAAGTTTAAATATCCTTTTAAACAATTTTAAAGAATCTAATATAGTTTTTCCCAGATATAAGGTACAAATAGCACTGATTTTTACTTTAACACTTCTATAATAATTTGCATTCATAACTCTAATATCCAATAAACGAAAACTGTGCCAAAAGCACTTTTAAATGCACTTCAACAAATGCTCAATAGCTTTGCTTAGCTCCATGTCTTAGTCCACATGCAGAAAATGCCAGATATCATGCAACATATAAAAGTGGAAACAATGTAGATTACGTTTCTTCATTTTCCATAAAATTACATTATCAAATGATGGATACGATTAAGATGCAACAAGGATAATAGTTTTCTTTATCTTTTCATTACACTGTCATTAAAACTTGTTTTAAATGTTAGTCCTTAGGACTAGTGATCAAACTTATTGAAAATAAAGCATACATACATGAAATAAAATGTCACATATATTTATACGAAAGACTATTCAAATTTAACAATTTTGCAGAAATACAAAATGCAGCAGATTTTTTTTTAATTAAAAGAAATGTTTTTAAAGTTGAACATAATTTAAATATAAAGTCAGCTTAAATTGAAATCTTAAGACTGGAATCTAGAATGAGTAGCCATTCACAATATTCCAGAGGCATATTTAAATATAATTAAACTACAATGGTAATTTAATTGTATTCTTAAAAGTCAATGAATATTAATAGTAATATTTATTACAGTACAGGTTAGAATGAAGTGTTTTTCATCGTAAATATTGCCTAAAGCACAACGCAGAAATAAAATTAAAATACTTCCTTTGAATGACACTTTTTTCCATGGCTTGGAATCATGCGATTTAGAGATTTTACAATATGAATTTTAAAAAAAAATTTAAAAGAGTGTTAAAAGACCCACGTTTAATTAGAAATACTTCCCTTTCATAAATTTTCTCCATAATATTTCCAAACCTGTAAACATGGAAATGGTCAAAAAGATTCCTAAAATAAATGTTTCAGGAACTGACTTTCAAGTCATACACCTTAATATAGAAGATCTTAAATAAAATTTAAAAAAGAAAAATCACAAATTTCTGGTATTCTGCTATTTTTTTATTTCAACATATAGCTAACATGACAGATTTCTATGCTACTTGTTATTTTAACATATGCCAAGAACATGACAGATTTCTTGCTGTTTGTTATTTCAACATATGTTAAGAATATGACAGTAAAAATATATTAAAATATCCTATGCCTTTTTTAACTCATAAGAAATCAGCTTTAAATTAAAAATAAAGATTTTTTATTTGCAAAGATAATAACAGAAGTTTCAGAGCTTTAAAAACATTCATATATTTTTAATGTACATTTATAGTTTTTGATTTAAACATGTTTTCAGTTTTTGATTTGAATTGATTTAAGCTGTGAAGATATATATATATATGTATACATAATCATTAAGATAATGGCATGACAATCCTTTCAAAAATTAAAACAACATTCCTAATTCGTTCTAAAAATAAAACTGTTTATAGATTTTGACAGTTAAATGATTGATTAGCACACACATCCTTGATCTGCCAAGAATGTGAGTTTCATAAAGAATCATTAAAAGTGAAATTAAGGTAATTTCTATCTTTGGCCAGTTTCTTTTGGACAAATATAGAACCGGATATTTAAAGCCCTAAATAATGGTAAATCTTCATACATTATAGGCTTTGGAAACATCAGCTATCCAATGCAAGAATGTAGCCAGACCTCCGTTTTCAACATAACATATGCACATATCCTGCTAAATAACACCCTAAAGCAAAGCCAAGCATTATATATGTTACGATGAAACACCGAAATCTGGAGAATGTCGACTTTCACCGGTGAATGTCAACATTCACATAGTCTCTTGGTGTATGTCCGAAATATTTTCCAAATACTCTTATTTCTGACTTACACCGGTGAATGTCGACATTCACCATGTACTAAAGGTGAATGTTGAACATATAACAATATTATATTTTCTTCTCCGTAATTCAGTCGCTAATAAAGGCACTTGAGACTTGAAATAAGAACTTAAGAACATGAGAACCTTAAACACACAATACTTTCAAAATGAGAAAGGAAAATAATAGAAGTTAAAAACTTACTTAGTTATACAGTACGTTATAAATGAGAAAATAAAATAACAGTAATAAAAACTTACTAAATTATGTGATTCAAATCTTATTTATTGCAACAACTTAAACTGTTATGGCACTTTATGACCTCTCTTTTCGACTTTCACCAGAGCATATCTGTGATTGTCGACATACACCGATGAGGGTCCGAATATACAAGAATGTAGTGAAATATTCGGTCTTTCACCGACGTATTTGGTGAATGTTGATATTCTCCGGTGAAAGTCGACATTCTCCAATTTCGGTCTTTCACGGTAATACATACATATATTTAAAATTTTGAATTGAATCACTGAAAATCATAATAATTACATATGTTTCCAAAAAATGGATAAACAGAAAACTAGTAACAATCAGAGTTAAAAATGTAACAGAATCAGATTTAATTAATAAATGTTATATATTTTATTGCAACTGCATGATTCCACAGCCAGCTGTATTTCATAAGATAATAGGCATAAAAATCAATATGATCTCAAAAAATATTTGCATTTTACCCTTTAAATAATATTTTATGATAAAAATTAATAAGAATTTTCTTAAAAATAATTTTATTTTCAATAAAATAGAAAAACAAAAAAAAAAAAAAAAAAAAAAAAAAAAAAAAAAAAAAGTCATTTAAATATTTCTTATACACAAAAAGAATGTAAAATATTAATAGTTGATCTCTTCCCTAATTTTATCATCAAGCATTATGTGTAACTTTTAATAGTCTCATTTAAATATTTAATATTAATTTAAATTTTTTTAATTTAAATACTTGTATTTTTCCTTATATTCAAATAGTAAAGTATGTTCTAATTTTTAATATTTTTAAATATGATTAAATGAAAATTAAAAATAATAGATGCTTACAATAATTATAAAAATTATAATTATTAATCAGTTATCAAGCAATCTGAAGTTAAAACATATATTCAAAGTTGGTGTGCTCAATTTTAAGAAAAATTAAGGTTTTTGACATTATGTTACTGATACTTCAAGTTTACATATATTAAATGCAGTATTAATTGAGTTATATTTCTTTCATATTAAGAGTATTTTTTTTCTGTAGAATTTTATGAACTTAATAGAACCGTTAAACTTACTTCAGGTAAAAACATGGAAGGACTCTGCCTAAACTCCCTCCCATTATTTAGCATGAGCATCTTGAGTAAATGGAAAGAATAACAATAAACAAATTTCATTTTGTGAATGTAATGAAAATTTTTTAATGACAGTTTGGTTAGTTCCTGCTACCTAGTTTTGTGCTTATATCTTTAACTGAACTAAGTAGACTCTTAGTTTGATCAAGAAAAAAGAGTTAACATATTTTGCCAGAGTTCTATTAAGAATTTACAAAAAAAGTTAATTTTGAAAATACTGTAAAGAATTAATTGGTCGAATATAATAAATAATTGACCATCTACTGCATTTTCAAAGCTTGAAAATGTAAACAACAATAAGTTAAAAAAAAGTTTAAGTTTTCTCATTTGTCTTGATAAAAATAAAGATGTAAAGGGTAAGTTAGAAATTAATCACATATATGTAGGAATTTTTTCAATTAAAAAACGGGGGGGGGGGGAAGAAAAGAAAAAAACTGCTTACCTTCATCATTAAAAGTAATGTATTGAGCACAATTAGCAACATAATGAAATATTCAAAAGGAGGTGAAACAACAGCCTTCCAAACCTTATACTGTACATCATCTTTGTTCTTTGGCATAAACCTTTGTAATGGTCTAGCTTGAATTGCAAAATCTATACAGGATTTCTGTGGAAATTAATTAATAGAACAGCATGAGATAAATTTTAGGAATAAATTTTTAATATGGAATTTCAGTAAAAATCTAATTTTTAATGGCTATTGCCATATATCATCCTGATAACTTTATTTTAGGACTTGCACCTTCATATGCAATTTTTATCTTCAAGTATAAAAGCTCACACAAAAATACAAGATTAAATTAGATTATTAATTAAAAACCATGAGTGCTATAATACCATTTTACTATTTACCAAGAGAATCCCAGAGAATGAAATTTAAAATTTTAGTATCACTCTCCTTTATCATCAACCTTTTGAAAAAAAAAAAAAAAAAAAAAAAAAACACTAGAACAAAGATATTATGTTTATGTTTCTCATGCATAAGATTCCAGCAAAATTAATAAAAAATGCAGAAAAGTATAACTTAGTGCAACATACTGTGTCTTACTGCAACATACTGTGGAGAACTTCCACAGTATGTTGCAGTAAGACATCCTTTCTTTCAACCTAAAATACTTCCATCTATAATCTCTGATGTTATAAATTTGACAAAACTACTACTGGTAGTGCAGGAGAACTGCATTTTTTACATTTTCATTGTTTATGATACAAAGAATGAAATTAGTATGGAATTTAACTGTATCTAACTGCTGCCAATGATAATGATACTTGTTCATTTGCAAAAAAGGATGTGCCTAGACTTTGAGCATGCTTTTGATCTAATAGGTAAAGTATTCACATATAAACTAAAAGTTTTATGGTTTAACATGAGCTAATTTTTATTGAAATATGGTATCACACTCTAATCATTATTATGACAACACAGTGGGCCATTTTTTTGTACATGTTCTTAATCCATTTGCAAAATAGGCTATTACATTAAAAAAAAAAATGATTAATAAGATAAGGTTCATACATTCTTCTTTAAAATTTACTCATGCTTTTAAAGAGTTACTTATGAAATGCTGAAACAAATTATTCTTAAAATTTTGTTACATTTAACTACAGAACGTTGTTGAACAGGTGCAGAAGTGAAAGCGATTATGATATCAACACATCTGCAACATTTTGATATAAAAGAAGGTTTGGCAGTGGGAAGAATGTTTCCAAACATCAGGAAATGGGCCAGATTTATGTAACAGAGGCATTAGAATTCTAAAATGACCTACATGTTTGTAACAAAGAAATGCTTTAAAAATGATGTATGAAACAAAAAAATCATAGGATGCAGTAAATTGTTAAAATATAACCCTGTACATAAATCATTATGGTTGCAAATTTTAAAAAGATTAATTCTAAAAACCATATGCTGTTGACTTTTTGCATCAGATGATTTCCTTTGGCTGCAAATATGTTGGAAAATTCAAGTGTTTCTCAATGGTGGAAATAATTTTGAAACATTTAAAATTCTTGATAATTATATTCTTAATCAAAGGTTTTCTAGACATGCATACAAACGACAAAACAAAATTAAATAAAAATCGCAATCAGAAAACTTCAGATTACAATCTAAAAACTAAAGAAGTTTGTGAAATTACATTTGGGTATTATTAAGCAAACTGATTTTTTTTTTGTTTACATCTGTCTTATTGTCTTATTTTGTCACAAGCTAACTCATTCAAGAAATTTATGTAGATATGAGTCACAAGCAGTTTATAAAGTTAGAAGAATAGCTTGTAACCACATGTGAGTATAGAATAAAGCCAGCTGCCTGCTGTCCCGCTTATCACTAGACTGCTGCCTCGCATAAAAGTAAAATCTCAAGTCATATTCTGCTGGTAAATAAAGATTTTTAGCAGCTGTTAAATAGATATCCAAGAACTTGTAATCTCTATTAAAAGGTAATTAGGTGTATTTACAAGATGCTCAAGCAAATTTTGTGTTGAAAGCCAGGTCCAGGTGACTGGTAACTTTGTGCTGTAATATTTTTAATTTGAGTGATTTTATTTTTAAGTGATGAGGCAGAATAAATTTAAAGTAATACATGTGTTAGCTTTATTGCTTAGCTTAGTTTTGGTAAAAACTCACTCAATAACTTTAAGTAATACCTAGGTAAACTGGAATAGCTAAGCTTAGATTGAGCCCCCAATAGCTGCTATAAGTTAACCATCAAAATTCCAAAAAGTTAAAAACATATTTTTTTTAAATAAAAAATTAAATTTGAAAATTATAAGATTAAAAAGACACTTTAATATGAACTTGGAATGTAAATTTCAGCAGAACATATGACATAGTTTTAAACTGAGTAGCTATGATAAGTTTACTAGTTTAAGAATTAGTATCCTAGATGCTATGCAAAGTAAAATGTAATAATTAAAATAAGCTGTTCAAATTGACAAAGCCAAATTGAAAAGGAAAAAAATCTACTATGACATTTTATCATAAATTAAAAACCACATGAAAACTTGTCAAAATAAGAAGGCATTCAATTATTTAAAAAGTAGCTGTGCATTTACTCCACCAGTTCACTTGCACAAAAGACTTGCAACAAATAGTTTTATAGGCTGGCAGTATTTTTTATTTTGCCAGGATATAAAATTTGATTCTACAATATTTATAGTTATATGCTACATACTTGGTTTTTATCCAAATCTCCTTCTTCAAGCTCTTTCTCTCCTTGCTCTTGAAATGTGATGATGATCAAGGCCACGAATATATTAACAAAGAAAAATGGAAACACCACAAAAAACACAACATAGAATATAGCCATTTCAATGCGAAACCTTGGAAGTGGACCATAGTCTACATAAGTCGAGTCCATGGAATTCTGCAATACACTGAAACCACAGTTCATGTTATTAAAGGAAAATATTTTTAAATACAAATTCTTCAACTTAGAATCTCTTCAATACTGCGACTTCATAATCCAATGAACATGAAAAATATATTTACTCTGGCCAACCTTCCCCCGTTTGCACTGTAAACAATGTTAACATGGCAGCCATCACATTGTCATAATGAAATGGTCGATGAAGCCATTCCCGTTTCTCAACTTCAGGTCGTTTATCATCCCCATGGAAAACCAAAAACTCACCCCTAAGAAAAAAAAAAAAAAAAAAAAAAAAAAAAAAAAAAATGAATACAAAGTGTTAAAAATGATTGCATAATTAATTTTGAATGGTTTGTTAAACCCATAATAATAATTTAAAAAGTAAACTGAATCAGGTAAGCATTTAGGCTATGACACTTTTGGTCATGCTATGATTTTCAATAAAAATACATGAAATTAAAATTTTTATACAGCCTTTAATATAATAATATAAAATTTTTTATTATTTTTGACAGTTGGAATAGTTACATATGCAAATATCAAATTGTTCTTCAAACTACTGAACACTTTTTGAGGGAGAGGGAGTCCATAACATGCAGAACTAACCTTGAAAAAATTATCAGTACAGCTATTTCCTGTTATCTATAAAGGTTAGGTTCTTGAAATATTTCACAGATATGAAACTACAATGTCTCATAAAACGACTAGTTTCACTGTAATATTAGTCTTCATATATCATTTGAATAATTTCAGCTAAAATAACACAGACAAACATATGTACAAGTGTTACTTAAGTACTAATTAGGAAAAATAATGAATATTAGTTGATAAAATTTTAATTAATTTTTAGATCATAAATACAGAGAAAAATAAAACATTATGACAAAATAAAACATGAAAATTATACAATTCTCAAAAATAAACACTTCTCATTATCCACAGCACCACCCAATATTATGAAAAATAAATATTTCTCATTATTCACAGCGCCACCAGAAAGTTCCAGAAAAGTATATAGGAGATAGTGCAGTACGTCACCAAAACACGCAACCCACAGTGCTGCCAAAAAGTATTTATGTGAACTCAGGTATGCATGTAGGACATGTCTCTTTAAGTATACATCAAACTGCACTTATCCAAACTGAACCATTTTTTTTTTTTTAAATTTTTTTTTTATTCGAGTTTCTTTTTGCATTCAGTTCATTTGTTTTTCTCGCAATGAATCCTAATGGGACTGTGGAGTTTGCTAGCTGATGAAAAAGAAAGTGTTATATTTCTGAAGAAACATAGTGGTTTTTGCAATAATAGAAAATGCAAAAATTTGCATTCTGTGAAGATATCCTTCTAAATGACTGAACTTTATGAAAATGCAGTCATTTAAGAAGTGGATTCAAACATTTTCAAGGAAAATGTTAAAACGTAGATTGGAATTTGGTTTGAAAATAGCCATATCTCCTTTGCAACAGCTATTCATTTTATTTATCACTGGCCAGGGTGTAAAACTTTTCTTTTCTTTTTTTGCAGAAGCAGATTGCTGTGAATATAAGAACAAAAAAAAAAAAAAAAAAAAAAAAAAAAAAAAAAAAAAAAAAAATCCAAAAAGGTAACTGATTCAATTTATTACCATATTTTCAGTTTCCCCCCCCCAAAAAAAATCAATTGTTTTTTTACACAATTCTTAGTGAACTCTCATTTAGAAAGTGGCTTCTGCCTTTCATACATTAGCTTAACAAAAAAATTAATTGCTGATGAGTTACCAAATGCTATCCAAAATTGGCAATGAGTTCATGACTTTTTGATGAGGGTACAAATAACCAAGACAGCAAAGGAAAAAAAAAACTACATTATAGAATTGTGTCTTCACATGTCAAAGTCTTCATGAACTGAAGTTTTGAATGTGACTTTTAAGTTTTGATTCCCTTTCTAGGTATGAGAAGATCTGAAGAATGAAATCACTATGTTGTTCTGCTAAGGAGGGGAAAAATTATCATTTAATATATTTCATTGGTAAATATGGCTTAACAATTTTAACTTCCCCTTCCTCTTTAAAAACTGCTTTTTATGGAATGGCAATATTCCAGTAACTCTAGTGTTAATATCTGATGATTAAGAAATCAGATTATTTTGCTTTTATATGTGCTTCATTTACAGCTATTAAATATTTTCTTTCTATGTTTTATGCCATGGTTACAAGTTAACTACCATTGCTCTTAAGGCCCATATACATGAGGACACATACAAAGGCTGTTCGCACACTTTTTATCCCAAATTTTTGTGTTTTAAATGTTCTACTTGGCCCCGTTCAGACGAGGGCATAAAGGGCATAAGTGGTTAAAGCTGAGCTCCATTGCCAAGACAACCAGTCTCTGCTACGTCACAGAATCTGGTTTAGGGCTTGTGGCATAGGGTTCAAAGTTTTCAACTTTACGCCGAGTTTGGGATAAGCGTCGACCAATCAGAGCGAAGCTAAAACGAAGTGGTTTTTCTTTAGACGATTTTGCTGTCACATTGAAGGCGACATTTTTTTAAATATGGAGCACATCATATCCGAATGAGTTGTAATCGTATCCAAACGAAATAATGAGTTGGTCTCGCAAGAAATCTACGATGATGACATGCATTTTTAATGAGTTTCTAATGCATTTTTAATGAATTTTTCAATTTATATTGAAAAATATGGATGAAACTTGTAAAGTGAAAGTTAAGCTCAGGATTATGCACGCTGTGTATGATCCTGTAGATGATTGATCCCATCCAATATTCTTCATTTTATTATGAAAATTCTTTAAAAGATGCATGCTTGCAAAAATTTTATTTTTTCTGTGTAAATTATTATTATTACTTTCTTTCTGTTTATAATTTTTTTAAAAATTATTACTATAATTTTTTCCTGTTTAATTATTTTTGTATTTAAGAATAAATTTATTGAAAAAGCTGGAAATATTGTATTGCTATTTACTTCAAATGCTGATTTTCTTTCCAAAGAAACTTCATGAATTAATTTTACTAAAACATCAAATCAATATCAAGAATCTGCTGTTTTTTTAACAATAAAAATATTACTTTAAAAAAAAGAAAAAATTATTTTCACTTATTTAAGAATAGTGACAATAGTCAATTCAATGGTGTAAGCTTTGTATAAGTAATAAAAGATTAAGCTTTTGAAAAATGCTCTTATGAATTCCAAGTAGGAAAAATTGTAGTGAAATATCCTTAAAACAACAGTCAACAGTCTAGACAGTTTTGTCTCCTGTTATGTTGTGTTTTTTAATTACGTTCTCCATGAAAGGAATTTACTTTTAATGAAACTGAATAGCACACATAATTCATAACATGGACTATAATTTAATGAATAGTATTTGTTATTATTATCCACTCTTTATTACTATCATTTGAATGGAATTTTGATCATTAAATTCATACTATTTCTCTGGTAAAAATTCCTGGATAAGATATGAATGTTTATAATTTTGCTGTATTTGAAGACTTGGGTACCTAAAATTTGTCAATGTGAAATTACTTTTGAGATTTGGTTGTAAATAGAAATGGCAGCATATGTTGAAATTAAATTCAGGGATGCGGCTTATACATGCAAATTATTAGAAATAGATGTATACAAACAGCTGGGAACACAGCAAAATGTATTTAATGATTGAGTATAAAATACATTGTTGGTGAACGTTTCCGAGTATTGTACTAGTTGTGCTTGCTGGTCATTGTGACCAAATGTGAGATACTAGTACTAGTGATAATTGATACTGGTAGTGCAGCCAACTACTATAGTGATCGACAGGCACAGTGAATAAGGAGTGCTAAGCACACGTTTCACTGTCACAGAAACATGTTCACTTTTGAAAAGTTAAAAAAATAATAATAATGTATGGTAAGTACTGTTTTCAGCTTAACTGCTTTCACACCTGCAAAATGGAAAAATGTTATATACAGGCTATCTGTTAGTTATCCTCAAGATTTTTTTTTTTAATTAGGCATATTTAGAATATCGTATTTCTCCTAAGAGAAATTATATATAAAACTGAAGAAGGTTTTTTATATATAAATATGCATGTGCATGTTTATAGTATAAAGAGTACTACAGTACAATGCAGAAATATTCCATACTGCTTTGCACAGAAATATATGTGACAACCAAGTATTGGTCTTTCAAAAAAATATCTCTAGACCATTTTGTTCTTTTTCTTTTTTTAACCTTCTTCCTTTGCCTCTTGGCTTATAACAAGGGCAGATAAAAGAGCATTCTGTTGAACCAGTAAAACTTTGTAGTGAGCTGAAAAAGCCATGTCACAAAATAACGGAAACAAGCAGAGTGAGCGTGAGAAATCAATTGAGCTAGAAAACAGCGCGCAAAAGGTGATCACATCCACGCATGTGCAAATTTAGCTTCTCTCATTGGCCACAGCTTAGACCGCCGTCTTGCAGGTGTGAACGGATGACCCGTATTTTATGCCCTTATGACTGACTATGCCTCTATGCGCTTTATGCCCACGTCTGAATGCAGGTTTTGATAACCCTTATTCTACACTATCTTTCTAAACCATAATTTCGAAGACAATGAAGTCTTTTGTAGTATCGGAAGAGATATTTTATCCCATTGCTCTCTTACAGCTTTCCAAAGTATAAGAAGGTTGTACATCGACATTTGAACAACCTGCTTTTTAAAAGTCCAAAAGTGCAAAAATACATTGGTGATAAATCAGATTTAGTAAGGATATGAATGGAGGGTATTGCCTTGATATCCGCTCCTTGTTCCATTTTTTTCAGGAAATGAACAGTAGATTTTTGGCTTGTCACTGCTTGCTTTGATGCAGTTCTACCGATTGATTACACTGTCAATCATTTATCCATAATGCAGATGCAATAAAATACATGAAAAAACAACATAAAATAAACATTATGGGTAACACAAAAGGTAATGAATCGCTCTGAAATTAATGTGTATGCAAACCGTACTCAGAGTAAAAAAGAGTTTCTGATTAGGTATTGCACGGAAATGTAACCTTAAGTGAAGCTGCAGAGTGGAGCAGCAGGTGACGTGACTGATATGCTACGTGCAAAAAGATGATTCTTCATGCATGTCATCTGCATGCTGAAAACACATATCTTTTGTTTCTTCATTTCCTGTCATTTGACATGAATCACTTATTTTTCATTTGTGCTACTTTTTTGGCCGTGTTGATACCATGTGACTTAATGAAGATTTTAAAGCTCACATCACATTTTTCTAATTGTTGGAAGATACATATACACT